TAGCTGGATGTGGGAGCACCAAGTCAGTCAGTCACCATGACTAGCCCTAATACCCCACATTTAAGAGTAGGGATGGAAGAGCTATCAGGGAGGTAGGAAAACCAAAAGAGTTTTGTCAAGGAAGATGAGACTAACCAGGAGGAGGGTTAAGAGGTACCAAACACTAGGATGGGACTGCTAGGTGGCACAGTGGACAGAGCACTGGAGTCAAATCTGGCCTCAAACACTTACTAGCTGTGTGACCCTGGGCAAGTCACTTGGCCCTGTTTGCCTCAGTTTCCTCATCTGTAAAATGAGCTGGAGAAGGAAATGGCAAATCCCTCTAGTATCTTTGCCAAGAAAAATCCAAATGGGGTCCTGAAGAGCTGGGCATGACTGAAAACACTGGGATAATTCTAGGAAAAAGAAGGCTGAGTTTTGACCCCAGATTGGGCCTTTGGGAGGTCACAGATGATCTTAGAGAGTTGTTCCAATAGTTCAGTGAGGATGAAATGGCAATCAGATGGGAGGAAGCTGAGGAATGAGTCCATGGTAAGGCAGTAGGTGTCTGTTGAGAGCATAGCCTCGGATCTGCCACTAACTCGTGGGGTGACCCTTTGGCTTCAGTTTTCTCTTGTGAAATGAGGAAGGACAAGGAAAGGGTTCTAAACCTAGCACTTGTGAATTTCTTTCTTTAATATTTAGATACCTGGATTCAATGTGTGCTTTTAACACCTGATTCAAACAACAACAAAAAAAACCCCACCACCCCTTTTCAGTTTAATCTGCATTGTTAACATTCTCTCCATCACTTTCTTAAGTCTAGAAATCAACAGTAAATCAGGCCAATTTATAGTGTTTGCTGATTTCCGAGGTGTAAATGCTCACATTGAAAATTTAGCAATGAACTCTCACGAGCAGGTTTGAGCTGGCTCTAGTACACGCCCACCTGTATTTCAAAATAATTGGTTTCTTTTGTAACCCTAAATATTTTACGCATTTAAAAACATGGTTCTGAGAAGTGGTCCCCTCACCAGACTGCCCAAGGGAAACTGCTACAGACTCTTGGGGGTTTCTGCCAGGTCTCTCATTGGACGGCATTTATGCAGTTCCCCATCACTGAGTCTTCAAAGAAAAGGCTGGAGAGGATTCTCATTCATGTAAGGGTTAGGCTAAATAAATCCCTCTGGTGAGCCTGCCAGTTGCGGTTCCATTAGAGATTTAAGTAATGACTTTGGCATTTCTCCCCTGCCTCTATTACCGAATCTTAACAATTCCTGGCTCTGCCTTAGAATCAGGTAGAGTAGAAGGGAGCTAGGTGGTACAGCGGATGAAGAGGATGACCTGGAGTCAGGAAGACCCAAGTTGCAATCCTGTCTCAGGCACTTCTTAGCTATGTGATCCTGTGTAAGTAATCTGAACATCCTTGGCCTCACTTTCCCCATCTGTAAAATGGAGATAACAAAACCTACCTCAAAGAGTCATAGGGAGTCTCAAATGAGACTCCCTCTATGTAAGGTGCTATATAAATAATAGCTATTATTGGGTGCTATATAAATGATAGCTAATATACGGTGCTACTGCAAACACCTTGAAGCTGATTTATTTGTGAAGGGGGAGGGAGGGTGGGATGGCACCCAATGAGAAGTGGACGGGGAAAAAATCACTAGATTTGGGATCAAGGGATTTGAATTGTACCACACCTCATCTCTAAGGCCCCATTTAGTCTTTAGACTCCATGATGGCCAATGGCAAAACTCCCTACCTTTTTCTGATTGGGCTGAAAAATGACACAAGAGAAAGAAAATGAAGCTTAAACCAATTTTTATTTTATTTTATTTTTTGGTAAAAGTTAAAGTTTGCCAGGTTAAGAAAAGCAGAGTCTGCTGTGTTTAGTGTTCTGACGCCTCTGACAGCAGCCACCGATGGGTACTGCGTGTCTAAAATAAACGTGGAATTGCCTACAGAGAGTAAACCATCCCAAATCTGACAACTATATAACAGTGGAGAAATTGATTTACGGCACTTGTCTCCCAAGCTTTTTAAAGGTAACAGTCCCGGCTATAAAACTATATAAGCATTGCATAAGAAATGTTAAGTCTACAGTAACAAATACAATCTTGTAAAAACTCAATAAATTATATATATATATTTATAATATCTAATAACATTTGAAACCATGCGCACGATTGTACATTCTCCTCTGGCGCTGGACGTCACACTCTGTCCGTCTGTGGAATGTACGTGATTAGAAGACATTTGTAGGAAAATACCGTTTTTTTTTTTTCTCTCCCATTTGAAGTTCCCCGAACAAAACCAAACCAAATGTCCCCCCTATAGAAATCTACTTCCTCTGCAAAACAGACCCCAAATTAAAAAAAGAAAAGAAACCTGCTTCTTGGCATCATCTTGAAACTATAAATTATTTTTTTTAGATTTTAGTTTCCAGGAAATTCTGAAAAGAGGGAAAGAGTACATAGTCACAGACCAGGACTCTGTTTCCTTTGCTTCATCATGAAGGAACTGGTTGGGTGGTGAGGGAGGAAATTACAGGGCACACTCAGAAATGCCTCTTGTATCATCCAGAAAGTGTTGAAAAAAAAAAGCCAGGTTCCCAACACTGACCTGTCTGTCTCCTAACTGAGTGTGTAGTTTGCTGAGGGCAGGGGCACTCTCTGGCTACGTCCCTGGGGATGGTGGGATGCTGTGGGCACATGTGAAATGCAGGCCATGCAGGGATGCTTGGAGGGCTGGGGACCAGTAAGTCAGGGGCTGAGCTCTGTTCCCTTCACATCCAGCCCAAGCATTGGGAAAGGAAGCCAACATGCTTTGGGCCAACAATGAATATCTTCATCTGGAAGAAGGATTCATGACCTTCCCACCCCTCCAAAGAGATGGAACAGAGAAAGCCCTACCCAGCCCAGGCACATCAAGCCACACCGAATCCCGCCAGCCTCAGTTTCCTCAAAACAAAATACAGGCACAACCTCCCTCCTGAAGGATGTCTCTGGGGGCTCTCGCTTAACTGTGTTGTTGTGAAAATAAACAAAAAAAACACCTCACTGCAATCTGGAGAAAAGTTAGAATCTGAAACAACACAGACAATCTCATGACATCTGTTCAGGACTGTGCACGCAATACATTCGCTCGATGGTTCCCATGGAAACAAAGGCATATACTTACTTTCGCAGCTGTTAATAAGTTAAAACTCTTAAAACTCTGGGAAATTAGGTTGACAGCAAAGCTACGCTAAATTTTAAACAAAGCAGACGGGGTCCCTTCAGCAGGCTATAAATAACTTTACAAATATACAGGTTAAAATACAATTTTTAAAACAAAACTGTGACAATATAGAACAATACAACAACAAAAAATGCAATTTTTTTCTTTCCTCTTATTTTTTTTCCCCAAAGGTCTGGTATTTGATATTGTAATGTTTACTTCTGAGGGCCTTCCATCCATCTTGCTTAAGGTGGACCACTATTATACACTCTCCATATATATATATTTTATGTACATACACACACCCACACACACATACACACACACACTGAGCATCTATTTATATGTATATACACAATTGTCTGGAATAAACCTTTTTTTGATATAAATTAAAGGCTCCTGCCTTCAGGTACCCGTAATTTCAAATCTTCATGGGATGGGGGAAGGAGATGGGGAGAGCTGACACCTGGGATGCTTCTCTTTAATACAGAAGACAAAAAGCCCCAGCTCCAAACAACCAACCAACCAACCAACCAGCCAGTCACACCCCTGAGGCAGGAATCCTAGTTCCCCTCAAAGCAACTCTGAACAGAACAGGAAACCCAGAAAGAGAAGATGACTTAGAGGATCATGGGATTTAGAGCCAAAAGGTATCTGAGAGATTGCTGATTCCACCATTTTACAGAGGAGGAAACTTGAGGTCCAGGAGGGGAAGAAACTTGCTCAACATTACATGGGTGGTAAATGGTAGAGATGGGCTTTGATTCAGATTTCCTGATCCCTCCAAGTCCAGTGTCTCTTTCACTATACTATGCTACCTCTCTTGACTTTGGCTCCACTCTTAGTTACTCACTGAGGAGATATGGCGCTTGACCCTTACTCCACTTCCAGCACTGTCCTGACACTTACTCCAACATGAAACCCTTGCCCTAGTCCCCTACTCCTGCTCCAGAGACCTATACCTGAAATGTCTCTTGCTTCTGCCTCCCTCTTTGTCCTAAGCATGACCAGAGCTGGAAGAACTGAAGCAAAATAGACGCCCTTTGCCTCTGGCTGCCCCTCAACCCAAGTCGGACCGCTGATCATTCCTGTTCCACATTGGCCAGACTTTTGTTAATTAGGAGAAGAAGGCCACAAGGCCAAGACTGTCCCTTTGAGGCCCAAAGCCTCTCTTGTCCTCCATATTTGTACACAATGCTTTTTGTCAAATCCAGAGTCACCCTCCAGTAGGTGGGACCACACCTGCACCCAGTCCCCTGAGGGGAGATGGAATCTGCTCCCATCCAAAGGTCCCCAGTTAGACTACAAAAAGGCAATCTCTCTACATTCGTTATGGAAAGAAAAAAAAATCCCTGACAACTACAACCCCACCCCACCGTCCTTCCTCTTCCAAACCTTCTCTAGATCACAGGAGATGACCTTGTCCAACCTCCTCATTTCCTAGTGGAGGAAATGGACCCAGAGAGGTAGTGACTTGTCCAGGATGGCTCATGAAGTACAGAAGTAGAGATGGGGATCAAACCCAGGTTCTCTGACCATTGTACCACACTGCCTTTTCCCTGTTTTCCCCACATACCTCCCTATCCCAGAACCTTCAAAAAAAGTCTTCTCCACATCATAGCACAGAATGGTGACTTCCGGTCTATCCCTTTTCCTTGGGGGGTAAGGGGGGAGAGCTCACAACCGCTAGACTGAACATTCTATTTTCCAATATATATATATATATATATAATATATATATATATAAAGTACACACATATATATAAAATATATATATATATATAAAATATATATATATATATATATATATATATATATATATACTATCATATAATCATCTTGGCAAGAGGCTTTTCTTCTTTCAGGCCATACAGTGCTTCTTGGCTTCTTTCTACAGCAAAAACGATCGGGGGGAAACAAAGTTTCAGCGGGCCAGGAGGCTCTCCTCGGCCTGGACCCAGACCCCATCCTCCTGGATGGTGAGTCCCCTCTGGTTCCAGGCTTGCAGGCCTCCATTCTGGACGAGCTCAGCTCCCCACAGGTCCCGGGGCCACGTCGGGGAGGCTATCACGTCCTGAGGGCGCCGTTACACTTGGGGCCTTTGGGGAGGCAGGGCTCCTCCGGCAGCAGGTCGTGGGCAAACACCGAGTCATCTCCGGAGGAGCAGGTGCTATGGCTGTCCTGGCAGGTAGGGGAGTACTGTTCAAAGGGAACAGACAGGTCCAGATACTCCTGTTGGAGGAAGGGAGAGAAACAGAGTCAGAGCGTCCCTGGGACCTGAGAGATAATCTCACAGCTTCCATCTGTGGCGGAGCTGGGATTAGAATGTAGGGCTTTTACCCCAAATACAGAGCAGAAAGTCAGGGAGCAGGTTTCCACCCCCCACTCCCATATCTATTTGTCTCTCCCACTTTCAAATATGATTCAAAGAATTAATTTCTTTTTTTAAATTTTTTTTTTATTTTTAGGAAATTGGGGTTAAGTGACTTGCCCAGGGTCACACAGCCAGTAAGTGTCAAGTGTTTGGTCTGATGATTCAAAGAATTTAGAGAGAGAAGAGCTTAGCTGATTTAGCTCCATGTTTATACAGCATTGTTTGTTTCCAAGAGGACCCAAGGATATCTCTTGACTTGTGTGGATTGAAAGAGGCAGAATGGCACAAAGTCGTCAGCCTCCCTCTCTTTTCCAGAGTCATCCAAGTCCAGTGGCAGGACAAAAGTCAAGACATCTGGCAATGGCCTGAGATGTTTATATACGGATATGGAAACTGAGGCTCAGAGAGAGGAAGTAAGTAAATAGTAGAGTTGGGATTCTGACTCAGGTCTTCAAACTCCAAATCTCGCGCTTTTCCTACTGACTGCAGCAATTCAATTTAACATAGATTTATTAAGCCGCAACTCTGTACAAGGCACTGGGTGGGATGCTAGTGATTCAGAGGTGGAGAGGACAGGAGCCCTGCTCTTGAAAAGCTCAACGTAGTAGAAAGATGAGATGGGGACACAGTAACAATGATAAAAGGTAGAAAATGAAGGGGAAAGGGGTCAACCCAAATGACCTAATCCAAGGACAAATGATCCAAGGACAGACCCAACCCAAATGATCCAAGGACAGAAGGCTCATGACTCTTTGGAGGAGAAAAGAACATAAATCAGGGAAGGTTCATGGAGGAGAGGATGGATATCTGAGCTGGGACATGAAGGAAGATTATAATAGAAGTTGGGAGAGGGTATCAGCCTGTGCAACACCCTGACATAGAGCTGGGTGGCTTCGTGTCTGGCCCTTCTTTCTCCTCTGATTGTCTAAGCAAGGCATTCTGAACCTTTTTTTGTGGCTGTCACCGGCCCCTTCGGTTGTCTAGGGGAGCCCACAGAGCCCTTCTAAGTGTGATGCTTTTAAATGCATAAAATAAAATCTCTTACAAAAGAAGTCAGTTCTGACATAGAAATATGTTTTGTATGACTTCACGTGTATAATGGACGTCATATTGCTTGCCTTCTCAATGGGTGAGGGAGGGGCTAGAAAGAGGGAGAGAATTTGGAACCCAAAATTTTTTAAAAATGTTAAAAAAACAAAGGAAGCCAATTCTATTTAAGTAAAGATGTTATCCTCGCCCCCCCCCCCCCCCAAATTCCCGGCCCCCCTGGGGGGTAAAGTCCTGGTTTAAGCCCCCCCTCCAGATTCTCACTTCCTTTGGGAAGCCTACCCTAACCACCCCAGGCCATGATGCCTCTCCCTCCTTTGAGTTCCCCAGGACCTCTGGAGCACTTAGCACTTGCTGCCTGACAGCGTTTTCATGTCCCAGGCACAGCAAAGGCTTTCCCCACATGGAAGAGATTGGATTCCCCATGCCCCACATCCAGCCTGTACATGGGAGATGCTCATCCTTGAAAAATGACCATCTACCCCTCGTTCACCTAAAGACCTCTAAGTGATGGGAAGCTCACTATTTTCCAAGGTGGTTCAGATGTTCAGGGCTAGAAGGATAATGAGCAGGATGGCCAAAGAACCTCAAAATATGATTCACTGAGCCCCCAAACCCAAAACAGACCTGGGGCAGGGGAAGAAGGTGAGGGAAACTCTGTCCCCATGATCCTCAAGAAACTTGGCCACTTACATCTGTTGATGTGACTGTGAGGACTCGATCTAGGTCTTCAACCAGCTGCTTGAAGGTGGGTCTCTGGGATGGGACCGCATGCCAGCACTCACGCATGATCATATATCTGGGGAAATAAGACAGGGAGAATAAGAGTGAGAAATAATGGGGGCCTCAGTAATAGACTGGTACACAGTCTATTATCTACGAGATAATCTAGTCCAACTGCCTCATCTCACAGAAGAGCAAGCTTCAGACCCAATCTCAAGTCCTGTGCTGGGGACTTGGGAGGGAAAGACACATAAAGGCAGGCCTGGGCCCTGTTATTTCTATAGAGCCAGCAAAGTACTGTGGATAGTGACCTGAGGGGCAGGGGTGGGGTCTCCTTTTTATACAAGACAGTTATTGGACAGCATCATTGATGCCACTGGCTTTGGGTTCAAATTCCTTCTCTGACACCTAGCCTTGTGTGACCTTGGGCAAGGTACTTGACCTTCTCAGGCCTGTTTTTCTCTACTGTAAAATCAAAGGGTTAGACAAGATGGCATCTGAGTTCCTCTCCACCTGGAGAGCTACGATCTTCTTGGTTAATTACTCAATCAAAAAGCATTTAGTAAGCACTTACCCTATGCCAGGTGATGTGGTAAGTGCTGAGGATACAAGGAAAGGTAAAAACAGTCCCTGCTCTCATATTCTAAGGGGTCTTTCCTCCACTGTCCTTTGGGCCATATTCAATTTGGATGCCTCAGAAACTACTGCACCACGATTCCGAGTCACGGAAGAACCCTGTCATTCCAATCTAACTTCAGAGGATTGATGGTGATGCATATCTCTGTCTCTCTCCTGTCAGCAAAGAGGTGGTGGACTGAAGAATGTATCGTCACACATGGCCGATACATTGTTCTGTTTAGCTTAAATACATTTCTTTTTACAAGGGGAAATTCTACTCTGTGTGTGTGTGTGTGTGTGTGTGTGTGTGTGCGTGCACACATGCGTTTCTGTGTGTATGAGAGAGAGTGAGGTAGTCAGAGAGAAACAGAGACATACACAGAGGTCAGAAAGTGACGTCAACATTTTTTTTAGAAAGGCATCAATAAAACATCTTTTTTAAAAAAGGAATTAATGGTGTTTAAAAAAAAAAGACAGGCTTTTGTTTAAGGAATCATTTTGGGATTGTTTGAAGTGCTTTCTTTCCTCCTCCCACTCACAGACATTGTCCATCTGTCCAGAGCTGGCAAAGCTGCAGAGTCACATGGTGTGCCAGCATCTGGCCCAGGAAGGCGATGAAGTAAATCATATCCCACATTGATAGTGGGGGCTCTAGGAGGCTTGGGACCGGGCAAGGACTCTGTACGGCCTAAACTGAAGATTAGTCAGAGGGTGGTAATTTAATGGGGCAAAGCTCAATCAGGTGGAGAAGAGAAATATACATTGAGAGCATCACTGGTGCGAGGCAGGGACTGAGGGCTATTTTTCATCTTGACTTTGTGGTTTGCCAGGGCCAAAGAATCTCTCACTTGGTGGGTGCCCTCCTGGTTAATAAGCCTTTCTGTACTTCATTAGGCCGGTCCTCACACAACATACACAAGCCTTTCTAACCTAGCATGCTCTCTATTGTCATAGCCTTCAAGAACCTAAGGCTGGTTCCACCATGGGGAGGGACTGGAGTAATGGAATGTGATCTTCTACAACCAAACACAGCATTTATTAAGTGCCTGCTGTGTACAGGGTACCCATAGATATAACAAAGACCCTGCTTTCTTGGAGATTATAATATAATGGGGGAAAAGACAAACACACAAATAATTACGATGTTAGGGATAATCATATGAACCTAGATTTGGAGCTAGAAGGGACTTTAGAAGCTATCTAGCATTCAATCCCCACATTTTACAGATATGGAAATTGAGGGCCAGAGGTTAAACATTTTGTCCAATAGAGGCAGAGCCTGGCTTCAGACCCAAGTCCTATGACTCCAGAGGGAGAAGTGTCCAGCCATGTAAAGTTCTATGAAAAATCTGGGGAAGGAGAGATCACATTTGCTGGGAAAAGTGGGAAAGGAAGATCAGGAAGGGTTTCATGAAAGAGGGGACACCTAAGCTGGGCCTCAAATGAAGGGCAAGACTTCCAATGACTCAGATGGGAAGTGAGGGAAAGGGGGAAAATCCATTCTAAGCATGGAGGGTAGGAGAGACTGATACATGGAGAAAAAGGGAGAGCAGCCCCTTGGAGCTGGAGTTTGGGGTATGAGTAATCCATGAGTAAGACTGGTTAGAGCAAAAACTTGGAGAGGCTTTGAATGGTAGTTTACCCTTCATTTCATAGGCACCGGGGAAGGTTTTTCAGTAGAAAGATGGAGGAACACGCTTGAAAGATTCCACAAGATGTGTTTGCAGGACGGGCTGTGAGGATGCTGAAAGCAGGGAAGGGGATGTTACAAGAGTCCAGGCAAGAGGAGATGATAAAAGCCTGAACTAGAGGTGCGGGACTTCATGAGCCTTTTCCGAGTGGACCACTGCTCAGCCACAAGTGAGGGAGGGAGAGGCCCAGAGCTCAGTGTACTGGCAAGGAAGGGGCCTCATTCTGGAGTCACTATAGCCTGGTGGAAGGGGCCAGGATGGGCAAGGTGGAGGAAGAAAGGAGAAGATGGGAGGACCGAAGAAGAAAATCTGGACTCTGGCCAGTTTGGGAAAATGACTCTGGCAACATGGCAGGTAAGAAGACGGGAAAGAAAGTGGAGGGAAGGAGATGAGGCAGGGGTTGGCCTAGCAGGCCAGGGACGCCAATGCGAGGGCCTGACTGAGGCCGGCAGGAGAAGGACAAGCCCCTCCCCCTTCTGGGTCTCATTTTCCTCCATCTATAAAATGAAGATGGCAGACTAGATGGAATGTGAGGTCCGCACCAGCTCTAACTTCCTAGGATTTTATTCCCGCTTCGTCTTTTATTTGTTGGCTGTGTGACTGTGGGCATATCACTTACCCTTTCTTCGTCTCTGCCCTCCCACCCAGTAAAAAAGGGGTGCTGGACTAGATGACCTGAGGTCTCTTCCAGCCAGGGGCATGTATGTATGCGTGTGTGTGTGTGTGTATGTGTGTAAATATATATATATATCTAAAATATATATATGTGTATATATGCATGCATGTATAACACATGCATATATAAACACATATATACACATACGCACACATATCTGTATGTGTGTATATATGTACATATACACATATATCACTTTGCTCTATCCTGGCACGTGCCAGCTTCCTTGGCATTCACCAGTTATTATTATTGGGGGTGGTGGTGGTATTGTTCCTCTTTTCAGCCTCTAGTCTGGTGATGATTTTCTTCCCTGGACCCTCTATGCATTCAAGCTCAAGAAATGTTTACAGAGCAATACTCAGGGTGTGCAGGTCTTGGTGGGGTGGGGACTGTATGCACACACACTTTTAAGTGTAATCTGCCTTATTAATACTTTCTTAAGTCCAGGTAGTCAACCCAACAATAAATCAAACCCCAATTTGTCATAATTGCCAATTTCTGAAGTGTAAACACTCACACTGAAAATTTAACAATCTTGAGCCAGCTCCAGCGCCCCGCTTCTCTCGGCTGGGTATAACTCCCTAGAAGTCCATGGACCTAGTGTACGTAAGCTCTGGGCAAGCCTGGGAAGTGTGTGGGGGTGGGGGTGGGGCAGGCTTCTGCTGCAGGAGCAGGCGTGAAGTCACACCTTGCAGGGCTCCCTGTGCCAGAGTGAACAGGTGCTTGTCTCTGAGGTCTATATTACAATAAGCCCTTTACACTCAGACCTCCCAGGACTCTAAACAGACCACACACTGCTCCCTGGCCCCAGCCTGCCCAGGGCTTCTCAGATTTCAAATCACTCAAGGAGGGGAGGGAAGGGGAGGGGAGGGGAGAGGAGAGGGGAGGGCAGGGTAGGGGAGGAGAGGAGAAGAGGAGAGAAGAGGAGAGGAGAAGAAAGGAGAGGGGAGGGTAGGGGAGGAGAGGAGTAGAGGAGAGAAGAAGAAAGGAGAGGGGAGGAGAAGGGAGAGGAGGAGAGGAGAAGAGAAGAAAGGAGAGGAGAGGGTAGAGGAGGAGAGGAGAAGAAAGGAGAGGAAAGGGGAGGAAAAGAGAGGGGAGGGGAGGAAAGGGGAGGGGAAGAGAGGAGAAGAGAGAAGAGGAAGAGAAGAGAGGAGAGGGTAGGGAAGGGGAGAGGAGGGAAGGAGAGGAAAAGTGAGGGAAAGAGAGGGGAGGGGAGGGGAGAAGAGGGAGACAGTGAGGAAAGAGACAGGGAGAGGAAGAGGAGAGGAGAGGAAAGGAGAAGAGAGGAGAGGGTAGGGAAGGGGGAGAGAAGAGAAGGAGACAGTGAGGAAAGAGAGAGGGAGAGGAAGAGGAGAGGAGAGAGAGAAGAGAAGGTCTTGATTATAAGTGACTGAGAGTAACCCTGGGCTGGCAGAGTCCGTCAGCTGCATACTGAGTGAGCCCGAGCTGGGTAAACAATCTCTTGGCAGGAGCTTCCCCAAAGGCTCCAGGAAGGAGCAGAGGCTGGGGCAGGGCACCTCCTGGGTACCATGAGCTTGCCTGCTGTGGTATCCAGGCTGTTCAATGGTATCCTGCTTCTCTCTACCACCCCAGGGTCACTCTGACGGCACTCAATAACACTAAAAAGGTTTGCAAAGCATTTTTACATCTATTATCTGGTGATCACGTAACACCCTGGGAGACAGGTGCTATATTATTAACCCCACTCTGCAGATGAGAAAACCGAGGCCCAGAAAGGTTAAGCGATATGCCTAGAGTCAGACAGCTAGTAAGTGACTGAGGCAGGATTCAAACCCAGGCCTCCCTGAGTCCACGTTCAGGGCTCTGTCCGCTGTACCCCACTTACAGATCATGGGTGCAGTTGGCAGGTTTGTCCATCCGATGGCCCTCTTTTAACAGCTTGAAGAGCTCCTCGACAGGAATCCCAGGGTACGGGGAACCTCCTAGAGTAAAGATCTCCCAAAGCAGGACACCAAAAGACCAGCTAGAAATAGGAAAAGACACACAAGCAAATGAATGAATGAATGAGTGAACAAATATGCAAGTGAATGAATGAATGAATGAATGAATGAAAAGTTATGGGGGGTGAGGGAGGGAGAAGGGCTGTGAAAACACTGGGAACGATTCCTTCCTCTCTCTCCTTGGCCCTGCTCATAGCTCCCCTCCTCTCTTTCTCCCCCAGTCCCGTCCTCCTGGCCCCCCTCCCGTGTCCGGCTTTGTTCCCAGGCAGCCGCGCATGGCTAACAGAGCCATCAATGGCGTGACTGGCTGCCCGGGGCCGCTCCTCGGACTTCCTCCGAGAGATCTCTCTGCTGACCCAACTCAATCGCGAGGATCCCACCCGGGCACAGTCTGAACCAAAATGAGCATTTCATCAGGGAGGTGACAGCCAGCTACTACCCCCAGTTCTTTGTCAACCTCCCTCCCTCCCAGGGCCACTCCCGCCCCACTTCCCCAGTTCCAGAGAACAGAACAAACCTAATTATCTATGCCCAGCTTCCCGCTCAGGGCGGGCAAGCCAAGAGCCACAGGTCTCTCGGTGCAAACTGACACCCAAGCTTGCCTACTGCAGCCCGGGCCTGCCCGCCATGCTTAGAGAAACCCCCCTGCACCTTCTCTTCAAGCCTTGAGAACACTGTCCAAAGTGGGGGGCGGCAGATATGGCCCAACAGCCCCCAGGACTGAATGCTTCAGGAGGTGTGTGAGATGAAGGCTTTTGGGAGGGAAAAGGAAGAAATATGATAACTGGCGAGAGGACCTGAATTTGAATTGTACCTCAGGCACTTCTTAGCTGTGTGGTTCTGGGCGAGTCACTTATCAATAAGCCTCAGTTTTCCCCGTCTGTAAAGGGGTTGTACAAGATGACCTGGAGGCTTAGACAGCCGGGTATAACATCGGCTGGATACATAACCTGGTCTCACTGAGCTTGTTGTCTAGATCCAAGGATGGGGAGACCCAGTTCCCCGAGTTCCTGGATAATAGTTATAAGAGAATTGAACATATTCCTGACTTAGGAGCCAAGGCCAGAAGGGCTTCGGCAGTGGGAGGGAGGCCACAACCCAAAGGGTTGGATTCCGTTTCCTTCAAAAAGCCTTTCTTGGTTGTGGAGGCAAAAGATCTGGGTTTCAATCCTGGGCTGGCCACCAACTTCCTGTCAAATCACTTATTTACTCTGGAGCTCCTGCTCTGTAGATCCACGTCCCTCTCCTACAAAATGGGGGTAATGATACCAAGAGCTTCTTTGTAAATGCAGAATGGGAGGTGTTATCGTAATACCAGGTAGCATTTATATAGCATTAAGGCCTGTGAAGTGTCCAGGTCTGGTACTCTAGCCATACTAATAACTAGCATTCACACATCACTTTAAAATCTTCAGAATGTATTACAAATAGTATCTCATTATCTTCACAACAACCCCAGAAGGTAGGTGCTGTTATTATCCCCATTTTACAGTTGGGGAAACTGAGGCAGACAGTGGTATTATAATAATGATGATAGTGATAGCCAACACATGTAATGCTTACTCTTGCCAGGCACTGTGCTAAGTGCTTCACAAATATTATCTCATTTCATCTTCACAACAACCCTGGGAGGTAGTTATTATCATTCTCATTTTATAGACGAGGAAACTGGGGCAAACATGATTTAAGTGACTTGGCCAGGGTCACACAACTACACAGCCAGTGTCTGAGGACACATTTGAACTCAGCTCTTCTTGACCCCAATACCAGCACTCTTATCTACAGCACCCCCTGGCTGCCTAGTTCACCATGATACCCCCTAGCTGCCTCATTCCTATGGATGTATGTGCTGGGTCATGGCAACTCAATGATTCTCTACTGAATAAGTGGATGGCTGCAATCTGTGTGGGGATGAGGGTGGGTGGGAGGGCAGAAAACTTAGCCAGTGAAATCAGAGACCCCCTAAGGATGGATATGTTAATGCCTATTTCCTCAAATTGCTGATGTGTATGTGTGGAGGACGAGCCTTAGACCCACCTCCAGCACCGGCCTTGCCGACTGGCAGCACAGCATCGAAGGTGTGTTTGGGACTGACTGACCCCCTCAAGCCTTCAGGGTCTGTTCCACAGTGAGTCCCTAAAGCTGTGTTCCTCCTCTAACATCCATCCCACATAATTTGGCCCTTTACCATCCCACGTTCCCTCCTAGCTGGGACGTTCCAGTGTTTCCCCAGCTCCGACATCCTCCACCCCCAGGTTCCAAGGTCTCTCTCTGCCAGTTCCAGAGATACCAGACTCGATGACTAGGCAATGTCTGACAAAGCCGCCGATGCCCGAGGCCACCCGAGCGCTGTAATTTTTGGAGGGGATTGTCTGGGAAATGCTTACACATCGCTCTGGTGAGTGTACACCCGGTCAAACAGGGCTTCCGGAGCCATCCATTTCACAGGCAGTCGCCCCTGGAATTAGGGAGACAAAAAGGAATGTCCTATCAGCACATTCAGGTCCAGAGGACCCCTCGCCCCAGAGGCCCATGGGCCCCAAAGAGAGGATTAGGACGCCCAGCCACGAGGCTCATGGGGCTCAGCTGCCCTTTCACCAAGGACCCGTCTACAGACTTGTTTTAGAAGGGGTGTCATGCAGCTGGGGTGTGGCTGTCACAAACATCTGTGGGGGTCCTGGGGGCTGAGCCCCGTGCTGTGTCCTTGACACAGTAGGTGTTCAGCTGAACTGAATGGGACAGATGGGAAGAAACTATGGGATGCTATGACCAGGAGAAGGAACTTGGGGTGCTTAGCCTGGAGATAAGAACTCTGGGGTTCATGGCAGCTATCAGGTCCCCAAACTGCCAGGAAGAAGGAGGAGGAGACCTGTTCTCTTTGGCTACAGAGGGTGGGCAAAGGGGGAAGAGGAGGGGGAGAAGCAGCTGAAGCCTTGATGGGAAGGAAAACTTTGCTCTCTTCCCCTGAAGATCAGGTTTGGGCTCCTCAGTTCTAGAGTATACAACTTTTTGAGGAACAAAAGGGAAAGATATCTTGCATTTGACCTGGGAATGACAGCATAAATCTCACCTCAGAGGGGTGAGACCTGAGCCTTTGTTTTGGGTTTTTAGGTCCAGAGCACCTCTGACCTTCTATGTTTTAAGGTCTCCTCCAGTTCTGACACTCCGTATTCTAAGGTCCTTTTCCCAGCTCTGATATTTCATGCTCTATGTTCCTCTCCAGCTCTGACATTCCATGTTATTTGTTCTAAGGTCCCTTCCACCTCTTATACTCCATATTCTAAGGTCCTTTTCCCAGTTCTGATATTTCATGCTCTAAGTTCCTCTCCAGCTCTAACATTCCATGTTCTTTATTCTGAGGTCCCCTCCAGTTCTGACATTGCGTGTTCTAAGCCCCCTCCCAACTGCGATATTCTAGAGTTCTAAGTTGTCTCTTTTCTCAGAGATCCTAATATTTTAGGATTCATTCTCCCTTGACAAACAAGGTTGGGGTCAAGAAGGAAGCCTGAGAAGAAAAGTGGGGTGTGCCCCCCAGATGGCGATAGATCTAAGTTAGCATTCTCAGGTCATCTACTCACATTGGTAGTTTTCTTGTAGTAGTCAATATTGTGCACGTCCCTGGCGAGGCCGAAGTCCGCGATCTTCATTACGCTGTCTTCTGTCACGAGCACGTTCCGAGCAGCCAGATCTCGGTGAATGCACTAAGTAGGGAGGGAGCGGACCCAAGAATAAGCAAATGAACTACATACCCAGGGGTGGCTGGGGGCAATTTCAGAGAGGAGAGTGGGCGTGAGAAGGGAGGTCCTAATGAAGTGAGACGTCGTCGGCCTCACTCGGTTGCCTAGTTTGTAAGCTAACCCCCGTGAGGCTGCTTTTGCCCATTTGGAGAATGGTCACAATTCCATCGCAATTCTGCCGGCTTCCCTTCCACCTCTGACAAGTCCTGAGGGTAAAGAAGCTAATAAAATCCCAAGGGCCCTGAGTGTGAGCCAAATAGGCTCCACCTGAATGGCTCAGGTGAGATGAACCAGGGATAGGTCCTCATACAGCAACTCCATTCCCTGGGATCATTTTCTTCCACTCACTGCAGGATTAGACCATGATACCCACCAACCATACTGCCCTGGGCCGCCATGTTTCACCTGCTCCATTAAAGAGGATGCAAAGGCCACATGGGTGAGGAGGGATAACCAAAAGATAATCTCTCATCTTCCCTGGACTAAAGAGTCAGGGTCTTGAATTTCAGTCTTATTTCGCTATGTGACCTTCAGCAAGTCCTGTCCCTGCTTTGCCTCAGTTTCTTCAACTGTAAAAAGAGGGCCTTGGATCAGATGACCATCAAGTTGCCTGTTGGTGCAGACAGTCTGTGTTGTTTGTTCGAAGGCCCCGTCCAGCTCTTCCAGCTTGGACATTCTATGTTCTAGGGTCCCTCTTGGCTTTGATACTCATTAATTCTATGATGCTATGGGATTAACTCATGCTCCTGTGTGCATAGAGGCCTGGGGAAGATACTGAGTTAATTAGAAAAAACTTCAAAAGGGCAATATAGCTCAGAGCAAACCAGGCCTGGGGGAGGGGGTCTGAGCCCTTTTATATTCCCCTAGAGACAGGTACAGGCTCAGACACTTAATAGCTGTTTGGCCCTGGGCAAGTCACTTAACCCTGTTTGCCTCAGGTTCCTGTGTCTGAGGCCGTATTTGAACTCAGGTGTTCCCTACTCCAGGCCCAGGGCACTATCCACCATGCCACCTAGCTGCTTGCATCACACAGCTAGTAAGGGTCAAGAGGTGGGATGTGAACCCAGGTCTTCCCAAGTGGAAAGCTGAACTTCTCTTTTGACTATGTCTGCCTCATTGCCTCCTACATCAAGTGGGGTTCTTTCTGGGGTCTCACAGTTTATTGAACCCTTTCCTGGTGCAGATGACTGTCTATTGTTAGTGGGGAGAGGAAAGGATGGGCATCTGGCCAGGTCACGTGGTTTACTCTACCTCTCTATTCTGCTCAGTTTTAAAATCTTTTTAGGGAAATGTGCATATACTGAAGCAAGAGTTCAGGCTGCCTTTCCATTCCAGGGCTATGGATTGGGTGGGTCAGGAGTTTTGGGACAACGGATTTGCCTGGGCTTCTCTATTTTTGAAGTGGGAAGCTCCAGAGCTTCAGGAAGGGTTGACTTGGATGATAAAGACCTGGATTCAGGCCTTGGCACTGAGACTTACTATCTCTGGTGTCTTGGCCAAGGGACCTCACTTCTCATCTGTAAAATGGGGATAATGGCACTTGTATGGATAGCTTGCCTCACTGGGGGGGTTGTGAAGAATGTGCTTCATGAATAAGAAGATAGTCGTCATCTGATCTGTCTTTGGGGTGCAGAGGGGACCCAGGGCTCTCAGAGGTGATGCTCAGAGTGCCAAGCTTGGAAAGGCTCTCAGCATAGGTCTGGGGATGAGCTACATGTCCGTCTAGCTGCTTCTGGAGAAGCGTGCCACCCAAAGGTTAGTTACATCTTTTTTTAATCGTGGGAAGCCAAAAACATGAAATGTTAGAATGTGAAGGGCCTTCATGTAGTCCAAACCTTATATTTTACTAATGCGGACACTGAGGAACAAAGAAAGGAAGGAACTTACCCAAGGTCACCGAGAAAAAAGTACAGAAAGATGGTTGTGAAACTAGATCTTTCTACTCCTGATAATCCCTACCCTGAAGGTCAATGTGGCACACCCAAGTAGACGCAGCATCAGGCTCTGGGTCAGAAGACCTGGGTCCAGGTCCTGCCTGTGACACATACTGACTGTGTGTCTCTGGGCAAGTCACAACCTCTCAGAGGCTTCAGGAAACTCTAAAACTATACTGTTTTTTAAAAAATTATTTTTATTCTAAACTTAACAAACAGTAAATAAAATGGGCATCTCCACACACAGAGCAGAACATAGAAAGAGGCTTGTAGATTGAAACTGCAAATCTCTTTTACATACCACTTGCTTTTATTTTTAAGCATATAAACAAGCTCATCTTGCAGCTGTCAAAACTCCCCTAAGACCGTAGGTCACAGACCAGTTGCTGATCTGCACTAATAAAGAGACTTTCCTCACCTGGGAGCTCCCTATCACCAGCCTTCCTTACCAGCCAACAAATTAAAAAAAACCCCAAAACACCTACTTAAACATGGAGGGGGTTGCAAAGGTGGAGAGAAGGCCCATATTAATAACCATACACTTTCACAAAAACAACAGCTTTTATTCTAAGGGTCTTTAAGGAAGGTTTACGAAGTTCTTTGTCTTAGAACAACTCTGTGAGGCAAGTCGTATATTATTACCCCCATTGTACAGGTAGAAAACTGAGGCTCAGGAAAACTACCAAGTGTCAAACCCATAACCTGAAGCTAGGTGTTTGAAATCTAAGGCCAACAGTCCTTTGCAGGTGGTGAAGGCTGCCCAAGGCTGGTGGGCTTTCTGATGGGGGTGTGTGTGTGTGGGGGGGTATAAGCCCCTGATTGGATGCCCTCATGGCCCCACCACCTGCTCACCTTCTGGGATGCCAGGTACTCCATGCCTCTGGCCACCTGGTAGGCACAGGACACCAGGTCCTTGAAGGTCAGCTGTTCTTCTGGAAGCTTGCAGGTATCGAAGGAGTAGTCCATCCCGGGGGGTCTTCGGGCCCGCAGGTACTCACGAAGGTTCCCCTTGGATGCATATTCCACCAGGACGTAAAGGGGGCCTGTGGGGCCAAGGGGAGAGCGGTGTTATCACACGCAGCCTACAGAGGTGCTGGCTTCACCAGGAGCAAGCCACACGGTGGTTCCCCAGCCTAGGACCCTGGGGCTGGCCCCAAGCTGGGAGTGAAATGCCCCTGGATTCAGAACACTGTGCTTGCATTTCCTAGATCTCATGTGTTCTCAGGACAGTGGAATCTCAGCGTGGGAAGGAGCCTCAGGAGGCAGCCAGGACAACCTCCCACCCCCTGCAACAGCTCCCTCTATCATATTCCTGATGGGGCCATCCAGTGCCTACTTAGACTAAGAACCCCCAGGCTAAGAACCCCTGGCTTAGATAGCTTTAAGAAGTAGAAAACACCAGTTGGGAATCAAAGGACCCGGATCTGCTTCTTATTAGCTGTGTGACCTTAGACAAGTCACTTCTTGCTGAATCTTAGGTTTCTAAATTATAAAATGAGCTTAAATTACAGTCCAGGTTAGGACCATGTTCTGGGGCCTGCTCTGTACCTGAAAGATATACAAGGGAGTCCATTCTGCTTCATTAGCCTTAGGACCTCTGAACAGAATGAGAAGAAACCTGGATCTGGAGTCTGGAGTTTGAACCCAGACTTAGGTGCTTGACTCCCTGGGCAACCTTGAATAAATCGTCTTTCTTTTCTGAACTTCCATTTCTCATCTGTCGGAAGACCCAAAATCCTTAACCCAGGGTCCATGAACTTGTTTTTATTTTTAATATTTTGACAACTATATTTCAATATCACTGGTTTCCTCTGTTCAGTCATGTCTGACTCTTCATGACCCCATTTGGGGTTTTCTTGGCAAAGACCCTGTACTGGTTTGCCATTTCCTTCTCCAGCTCATTTTACAGATGAGGAAACTGAGGCAGACAGGGTTAAGAGACTTGCCCAGGGTCACACAGCTAGGAAATGTCTAAGGCCAGATTTGAACTCAGGATAATGAGTCTTCCTGATTCCAAGCCCAGTGCTCTATCCACTGTGCCACCTAGTTGCCCCTCCTTTGTACTCCTACATAGTTTATTTTATACATTTAAAAACATGGTTCTGAGAAGGGGCCCATGACCCAAAAAAGGGTAAGAACCCTTGGTTTAGATGGTCTTGATGCTGTCTAAGGTACTTCCCACGTCTATGGTTCACAAGCAGCCTAACCCAGGATATGAATGTGCGGGGCTGTCCCAGGGATTGGTATGGTCACTGAGTCTGTACCAGTGCCTCAGTTTCTCTGTCTGTGCAGTAATCAGAACATTATCTGCCTGTGTGTGTTCTCCCTTTTGGACAATGAAGCACAGGGTGGGGGATTGGTGCCCGAGATCTCGGGAGGAGACTGGAAATGAGGGGCCTTTTCTGACGGGGATGCCTGGCTTCTGGAGGATGCAGGATGGGGGCAGGGTGAGGACCTTGGGCTGGCGTACCATCCTGTGTGCAGGCTCCCAACAAGTTAATGATGTTTTTGTGTTTTCCGATCATTTTCATCATTTCCATTTCAGAGACCAAGTCAGAGAGATCCTTGTCCGTGGCATCATCTAAGGAGGTAAAGAAGGAGGTCAGGCAGGCAGGCATCCTTTAGGGTAAAAACCAATTCCATCAAGAAAGATCATCGTATAGCAGTTCTAATATGGCCAGGCAGGGCTATGGTGGCAAATGTTTAACAATTGGCTCTCCAGGAGAAAAAATGTCCCCACAATACACTTTTAAGTTGAATCTGCATTATTTCTTTATCATGTTCTTAAGCCTAGCCAAATCACAGAACAGTAAATCGAGCTCTGATTTGTAGCATCTGCTGATTTCTGAGGTGTAAAGGCTCACACTGAAAATTCAACAATCGCAAATTCAAGTTGGCTCTGGCACAATCCTGCCATCATGTCTGAGTGGCAGGGCCCACCCCAGAGACCCCCTTCTCCTCATCACATTCATCTGATTCAAACCTAAGACTCAAATTCCAAACAATGACTACAATGGGACATAAGGCTGAGGAACCTTGAAGGTTTGGCTTAGGGGAGGCACTCCTTTTCACATCTCCCCCCACCCCCACACTCAGGATCATCCTGCATTAGCAACAGGGCTATAAATTTGGTGCCAATGGGGCAGCTTGGCAGGGCCACTGAGTAATCATTCATTCAGACACAGAGGAAAGAGTCCACACCTGCCTGGTCAGGTGTGTGAGGCCCAGATCCATACATCAGAGTAGCAGCCCAGGGGACACCAGCCATCAACCAAAGGACATTCAAAGAACAGATCTGGTGTTCAACTTGAGGCTTCACTCATAAAACAAACTGAACTGATTGAGGTCTTCGTTTCAACAAAACAACTTGGCACCTTGCCTGGGTCTCTCTCTTTCCCACAATGGCAGAGAAGCCAACTGATTGGGACCACGTCAGAATATCAAGATCTACCTTAGAATCACAGACTCCTAGAACGTCATGGAATCACAGCGGGAAGGGACCTGAGATGCCCCCTAGTCCAACCACACCTGAACAGGAAGCCCCTCAGTGCCCTCCCCAACAAGTGGTCATCTGGCCCCTGCACAGAGACCCTCAGTGAGGCCTACACCAGCATGGTGTCCAAAGGCACTCTTTGCTTTCAGGGTTTTTTGGCTGTTACAGAAAATGTTGCTATGAAACTTCTGGTACATGAGACTTTCTTTTCTGTCTTTGAGCTCTTCGGGTTATATGCCTCACAGGGGGAATGATATACCCCCAGATTTTCCAGATGAGCAAAACCCTTCATGGTAGGGCCATTCCACTTTTGAATAGCTCTAATATTTAGTTAGGTTTCTCTTCCATTGAGTCTTAACTTCTCTCTTTGCAATACCCATAGCTCTTAGTTCTGACCTCTGGGGTCAATAATAATAACTAATATTATTATTATTATTAACCCCAAAATTATAATAGTTGAGAGTGGTTTAAGGCTTATGAAGGGTTCAATATAAATCATATCATTTGACACTCACATCAACTTTGTGAGGGAGGTACTACAAGTATTTTACAGTTGAGGAAACTGAGGTTCAGAAGGTCTTAAATGACTTGCCCAGGTTCACTCAGCACCTGAAATGGGATATGACCCTAGGTTTACCTGACTCCAGGTAGTATAGCATTGTGCTACATTGTGTCTCCAAACAGTATACGCCCAATGTCTAGGTGACAGCGTTCCAAATGCTTGGTACTGTGACATCTTTGCCCCAAAGATAAGGCTGGTACATGAGTGTAATGGATGGAGACTTGTCAGGAAAGGACAAAATGGAGACTATTAGATTGGAGGCTCCTTGAGGGCAGGGACTGTCTTTTGCCTCCTTTTGTATCCCCAGTGCTTAGCACAGTGTCTGGTATATAGTAGATACTTAAATGTTTACCAATTGCCCAGAACCAGGTCTTCCTGTCTTTAAGTCCAGAAATCTTTCCAGTCCACTGCAGGGAGTTAACTAGAGGCAGAGAATCTATTAAGACATCCTTCTGAACAGCAGTTAGCACTGGGGACTTCTGTCGTGGCCATTTGGTGCCATTCATCTCTGACACTCTTTAACCATGGAAATTCTGAGGCTGGAAGGGGCTTTTGAGGTCTCCTGGGCAGGGTTCCAACAATGCATCTTCTGGGGAGCCTACCCAGAATGCTGTGGCCCAGTGATCTCACCCTCCCCGGAGCACAGCAGCATTTGCTGTCTGCCTCACTCCTTGGGCAACTCATCCCTGGGGCCTTGTGACATGGCTGCCATGTTGTTTAAGAGTGGTATTGAAGTTCTGTGTGTGTGTGTGTGTGTGTGTGTGTGTGTGTGTGTGTGTGCATGTGTGTGTGTGAAAGAGAGAGAGAGAGAGAGAGTGTGTGTGTCCTGACTCTCCCCCTTCCTCCAGTGAGCTCCCTGAGGGCAGTATCTAAGTCCACTCCTCATTCTTCTCCTAGAGGCCAGGGTCTTCTTCTCTTTCTCCTGAAGGAAGTTGAACAACCAGGGCAACAAGTCCTTTAGTGCATTTTTTGGCCCTTTTTAAGTAACTTCCAGGAAAGGAGATGGCAGCGAGGTGGTGCAGTGGATACAGCACTGGGCCTGGAGTCAGGAAGACTCGTTACCATGAGTTCAAATCTGGCCTCAAACATTTCATAGCTTTGTGACTTTGGGCAAGTCATTAACCCCATTTGCCTCAGTTTCCTCATCTGTAAAATGAGCTGGAGAAGAAAATGGCAAACCACTTTAGTATCTTTGCCAACAAAACCCTAAAATGGGGTCACGAAGAGTCAGACACCACTGAAATGACTCAACAACAGGAAAGGAGATGCAGAAGGCGGCAATATCTTCTGTGTGGCATGCCTTGCCCCTCTCCTCCATCCCCCCTTCCCTTGCCAGGCACATTTGCTCATTTGACATTACCTTTCAACATCTTCACCGCTACAGTGACGGGCTTGTTGGGCTTGTCCTTATCGATGCCGATGGCTTCTGCCATGACCACCTGGCCAAAACAGCCTTCACCAAGAGGTTTTCCCAGGGTAAGACTAGAAGGAGAGAAAGACCAGTGAAGACACACTTTCCCATGCTTGCTCCTTCCTACCCCCTGGAATAAACCCGATTGTATTCTTGGAGGGCAAATCACTCAATCCCTCTGAGCCTCAGTTTCCTCGCCTATAAAATAGGGATAATAACTTTGACACTACCTTCTTCACAGAGTTGCTGTAAGCAAAGGTGGTCTGTGTCCAGTGTCACTGACATGAGTTCCTACTGCTGTCCTCACCCTTCAAGGCTCAGCTCCACCCTGCCTCTTCCATGAAGCTTTCCTTATCCTGATCTCTCCTGATTCTGAATACTTTGGCATCTCCATCGCACAAGTTAACACCAAATCAACTGGCTCTGCTCCATATTCTCCCTCCTTAATCAGACGATGAGCCCCCTGAGGGCTCAGAACTATGTCTTCTGTTGTTTCTCCTAGCACAGGTCTGGGTATCTAGTTCACACTCAGTGACCAAAGGAATGTTAAAACTTGTACATCAGAGGGCATCTAGTCCAGCCCCCTGAGGCGTGTTTTTTAATACAGATAACAAAGCCCAGAGGGGAAAGGACTCACTCAGAGTCATACAGGGACTTAGTGACAAGGCCCAGATTGGAACACGGCTCCTTACTCCCATTGCCATGACTAGGGAGAGGGGTTGAAGGATCAGCGGAACTGCAGGGCAGGATGAAGAAAAGAGTGAGAGGAGGGAGGTGGAGGTCTGAGGCCGAGGAACAGGTGGGAAAGGGGGGGATCCGAGGCCGAGGGGCAGGTGGGCACTGAAGCACTGACCGAGATCTGCACAGCTCCCACTTGGGGTCGGCAGGGAGCTCCAGCTCAGACACGTTGGCCAGCATGGGCCCCTCGCTGGAGGAGAGGCGGGCGATTCTCACCAGGGGGGTGTTGGAATTCATGGACGAGTTCGACTCCAGGGACACCTGCTTGAAGGGAGCAAATAGAATGTTATTGCCACGTGTTTTCCAAGCCACTTTCCATGTGGCCAGATGATCTTTCCAAGGAAGGCCAGGAAAACGGAAAAGCAACAGCTTCTATCACGCAGCTCCCTTGTAATGGGGACTCCCTACTACCAGCTGAGAAAATTCTCTCCTGGCATTCAAGGCTCTCCATGATCTGACGTGATTATGTCCAATCGTTCCCTCCCATGCAGTCTATGCTCTAACCAAACTGGGTGCCTCTTAAGTCTTGTTCTCAGGCCCCTTCCTCATCCCATCCAAATATCTCTTGGGGTTTCCAGCCTCTGTAACTTGCTCATGCTTTTCCCTACACCACCTTCCCCCTAAAAGTCTCCCTATTCTTAGGGCCTACCTCAAGGGCCATCCCCTCCTCGTCCTCATTCATCTTCCCCAGGGCGGGTAATGATAACCCAGGTGATACCAAGGGAAGGGGGAGGACCTGGGCTCCCATTCCAGCCCTTCTACCAGTGTGACCTCAGGCAAGGCCTCAGTTTCCTCATTTTTAAAATGAGTGGGTTGAATGATCCCTGAGGTCCCTTGCCGCTCTAAACTGATTCACAAAATGCAGGCATCACCCCCATTTTATAGATGAGCAAACAAGACACAGAGAGGTTAAGAAGCTTGGCCAGCATCACACAGCTAGCAAATATCAGTGCTGGTATTCAAAGTCAGGTCTCCTAACACCAAGACCACTTTTCTTCCTACTTCACCCTAGCCCCTAATGACCTTTCCTCTCTTGGGGAGTCCCGCTATCCTGCCTCCCAAACCCCTGAATGGCAGCCGAGTTTCTCTGAGACAACGTCCTGGCCCCCTTTCTGTGGGTGGTCAGACCCCCCAAAAGTGCAAAGACAGAAGGAACTCCACTGGACACCCTGTCCCCTTCCCCCACTTGCATTAAGCATGGAGGCTTGAACCCAAGCCCCAGAGCAAATGCATTGACTAGGTATCACAGTTTCGAGTCTGTGTGCCCTGGACACCAGAGGCCCTTCAGTCCATTGAGAAAGATGCTCAGGGTCATTCCTGGTTTGTGGTTTGGATGAGAGGAAGTCCCAGAATGTTGGGTTTCGGTTCCTTCCTAGGCCTGAGGCTGAATGGGACCTTAGAAGGCACTGGTGGGAGAGTCCAGGAATTCGAAGCCCCTTCTCTAGATTTTCCTAAAAACACTGTGTGGCCTTAACCAAGCCGAGTTCTTCCCAAGACCACAGAGACGCCTGGAGAGCTATCGAGTTCACCTGAAAGCCTCCATACCCAGCAGGAACTCATACAACTATGGCCCTTCATGCCAGTGTGTGTGTGGGGGGTGTGTGCAGTGTGTGGAGGGAGGTGCCCAGTGCACTTATTTGTATCTTTGCCCTCTTGGAGTCTGACCACCCACAGAAAAGGGGCCAGGAGGTTCGGTCTCAGATAAACCTGGCTGCCTTTCAGGGGTTTCTGGGCAGGATAGCAGGGCTCCTAAGGGGCAGGGCCCGGCTTTTCTCAGGAAGTCAGTAGGGATGGGAAATTCTGTGCTCAGCAGACCAGAGACGAGCTCAAAGCGAGCATTTATCACAAGAGTTCAACAGGAACTCTCTGAGCAAACACTGCCAGACAACTTGCCTAGCAGATGGAGAAAATGGGTTGGACGCTTTGTAAGCCCCGTGACTCCTCAAATGACCTAATGCTGCCAGGTGTTCATGGAGAATGGTCTTATTACATAGACTCAAACATTCCTGGCATCACCTTGTTGTATTCAACTTTGTGTTAGATGCTTGTTTGTGGAAACAGGGCCATCGATTTAGAACTGGGATGGATCACAGAGGACATTTTACACAACTGAGGCCCGAGGAAGTCTAAAACTCTTCCAAGGTCACAGAAGCATCCAGGGTTGGATTTGAACACTCATCCTCTGACTTAAAAGTTAGTAGTTGCTCCATCACACCATGATGCCTCCTCTGTAGAATCTTCCCCTTTCAAGTATACGCTCCCTGAAGGTAGGGGTCATGTCCCTTTTCGGCTTCACGGTCTCAGCACCGAACACAGGCCTTTGTACACAGGAAATGTTTCATATAAATGTGCGTAGAACTAGAGTGAATAGATGAGGCCTGGCAAGGCTAGGGCTTGATAAATCCTTGGTGCCAGGTTACTGTGGACTCTAGAACTACTGACAGGCTGGTCAGGCCACATTTGGAGTACCAAGCTTTGTTTGGGGAACTTTGTTTTAGAAAAGGTATCGACAAGTTGGACACCCTTGCCCCCTCCCCTCTAAGAGGAGGGCATCCAGGCTGGTGAAGAGACTGGAAATGAGGCAAGCCCTTCCAGGATCAAGTGAAGAATGTTTAGCTTGGAGAAGAATTGGGCATGTGAGGCAAGACAGCCATCTTCAAAGACTTGAAAGGTGGTCATGGGGAAGGGGATGTGTTCTGCTTGGCCCCAGAGAGCAGGACTAGAAGTTACCAGGAGGATAGATTTTGGATCCGTGTAGGGTAAGCAGGTGGGACGATTCAGTAGCACCAAGGTCTCTTTCCTCTGACCTGGTGAAGTCGGGAGCTCTCAAACCATCTTCCTCCAGATGGCACAAAGATGTCAGATTTCAACATACCATGGGCACATGCTCTTACTGCAATTTTAAATATTAAGTCATTTTCTAATAATAGCTTCCATTCCCATGGTACCTATAAGGTTTTCCAAAACTTTTGTCCCAAGGTGCTTTTGAGGTAGAGAGTGTGTTGTTATGCCTGTTTTACAGATGAGGAACCTGAGTGAAATGACTTGCCCATAGTCACATAATTAATTAGCAAGAGTCAGAATTTGAACTCGGATCTCTTGATTAAGTCCAGTACTCTTCTATTCCACTACATTCCCTGCATATGGACTAAATCTTATTTATCCCACTCACCGGAGGTGCCTGAGGCTTTTCTTAAAAGTTTTTCTATTAAAAGCTAAAAAGAAATACATCTGGTACCCAATTCCAAAGCAAATTTGTTGAAGGCTCTGCCCCCAAGCCTTCTCCTGCCAAGGCTGGAGAGGTGAGAAGAGGGAGGGGGAGGATTGTAGGGGGAGGGGCTCGGAATCTTGTATCTACTTTCTGTTACCTGTCGCTTGAGTGGGAACTTGGACACCTTCTGGACAGTGGGGGTGTTGATAGCCTTCTTGGAGGGCATCTTTAGCCGACAAATGGCGACGGCGACTGCCACCGCCACAATGAAGAGACAAAACCCAAGCCCATAACTGAGGAGGCCGGCAAAGACGCTGCCCGAGTCATCCACTTCCACCATTTCTTCAGCTGGGGAGTGATGGGAGAGCTGGTTAGGGGCAGAAGAAGCACGAGGAAGGCCAGGGAGAGGTCAGAAGGGAGAGAGGGAAGGGAGGAGGTGAGGGAGGGGCAGTGGGCGAGGGAGCTCAGATGCCTACTGAGTAAGAGTCTATTCTAAGATCCGGGAGCTCAGGACAAAAAGGATGCTCTGGCTGTGGCACCTGAGTGTGTGTGCGTGTGCCTGTGCGTCACAATCATGACTTAGAGCTTTAAGGAGCCTTAGAGGGCATCAATTCCAACCTTCTCACTTTTTGGATGAAAAAGCAGAAGCCCAGGGAGTGCCGAGGGAAACTAGCCCAAGGTCTCAAAGGCTTCAGGGGCTGAACTAGAATTCAAACCCAGATAACCTCTAATGTGTAGGGTTCATGTCTTTCCCAATTCCCTTTAACCTCCCCCAATGTATTCTGTCTTTAGCTTATCTGTACACAGTTGTTTGCATATTGTTTCCCTCTATTAGACTGTAAGCTCTCTGAGGGCAGGGACTGTTTTTGCCTTTCTTTGTATCCCCAGCCCTTGGCACAATGCCTGGCTTGTACCAGACACTCAGTAAACGCTCCATGACTTGTTTCTATTTATATGCGTGTTTGTCTTTTACGGATCTCAGAGGCTATCCCAACGCCCTCATTTTACAGATGAGGACAGTTGAATAATGTGCCCAGAATGACATAGGTTGTTAAGCAGCAGAAACAATTCAAATTCAAATCCTCTGCCCACAAATTCGGTGCTACTGGACACAGCACAGCACAGAGGAAGGAGTGTTGAGTTTGGCATCAGACCTGGATTCAAACCTCTGAGCGGCTCCTTGATACCTGGAAGATCTAAGGTCAGTCAATTTCCCTCTCTATGCCTCAGTTTCCTTATCTGTAAATGAGGGGGCTGGACGACATGCCCTCTGAGATCTCTTCCAGGGCTGAGGTCTTATGATTCCTGTGTGGCCTCTTAGGTGTTTGTGTGAGTTTGCACGTTGGTTTGTCCCTGTGTCTGTGTGTGGATGCATCATAAAAATCTGAGGCTGGTGGAAGAGACCCTCAAGGAGTGTGTTGGGTGGGCCAAGACAATGTTCTCTGCATGCTCTTTTATACAATGATAGCTGGGTTTGCCTCTAAAAGTCAGAAGGAAACTTGCGTGTGTGTGTGTGTGTGTGTGTGTGTGTGTGTGTGTGTGTGTGTGTG